AATGATGGTGCAATACTGGGACCGAGAGTCGAACTCGGGACCTACTGCGTGTTAGGCAGTCGTCACGACCAACTAGACCATTCCAGCAAGCTGGAGACACATCTCATTCCGTGGTCCCGGTGAGCTCCGTGATCTTAAATGCCTGTCTACTATATAGGTCGTGCTCAGCAGCAAGACACCTAATCGCGGGCTGAGTCGAGAATCGGACTCGAGACCTCTCGCACCCGAAGCGAGAATCATAGCACTATATCACACAGCCACAAAAAACAATTCATAGAGGAAGCTTGCGCGCTTCTGTGTCTATCGCTAGAAGCCGTGCGCCTCCGAAGACGCCGTAGCAACTACAACTCGGCGCATGATCTAATGCATATTTCGAATGATGGTGCAATACTGGAACCGAGAGTCGAACTCGGGACCTACTGCGTGTTAGGCAGTCGTCACGACCAACTAGACCATTCCAGCAAGCTGGAGACACATCTCATTCCGTGGTCCCGGTGAGCTCCGTGATCTTAAATGCCTGTCTACTATATAGGTCGTGCTCAGCAGCAAGACACCTAATCGCGGACTGAGTCGAGAATCGAACTCGAGACCTCTCGCACCCGATGCGAGAATCATACCACTAGACCACACAGCCACACCGGTGTGTATGTAGCAGGGGCTTCGGTGCCCCAGGAGCAGTCGCTAGAAACCGTCCGCATTCAAAGACGCGGTAGCAACTCCAAAACGGCGCATGATCTAACGCATGTTTCGAATGATGGTGCAATACTGGAACCGAGAGTCGAACTCGGGACCTACTGCGTGTTAGGCAGTCGTCACGACCAACTAGACCATTCCAGCAAGCTGGAGACACATCTCATTCCGTGGTCCCGGTGAGCTCCGTGATCTTAAATGCCTGTCTACTATATAGGTCGTGCTCAGCAGCAAGACACCTAATCGCGGACTGAGTCGAGAATCGAACTCGAGACCTCTCGCACCCGATGCGAGAATCATACCACTAGACCACACAGCCACACCGGTGTGTATGTAGCAGGGGCTTCGGTGCCCCAGGAGCAGTCGCTAGAAACCGTCCGCATTCAAAGACGCGGTAGCAACTCCAAAACGGCGCATGATCTAACGCATGTTTCGAATGATGGTGCAATACTGGAACCGAGAGTCGAACTCGGGACCTACTGCGTGTTAGGCAGTCGTCATAACCAACTAGACCATGCCAGCAAGCTGAAGAGACATCTCATTCCGTGGTCCCGGTGAGCTCCGTGATCTTAAATGCCCGTCTACTATATAGGTAGAGCTCAGCAGCAAGACAGCTAATCGCGGGCTGAGTTGAGAATCGAACTCGAGACTTCACGCACCCAAAGCGAGAATCATACCACTAGACCACACAGCCACACCGGCGTGTATGTAGCAGGGGCTTCGGTGCCCCAGGAGCAGTCGCTAGAAACCGTCCGCATTCGAAGACGCGGTAGCAACTCCAAAACGGCGCATGATCTAACGCATATTTCGAATGATGGTGCAATACTGGAACCGAGAGTCGAACTCGGGACCTACTGCGTGTGAGACAGTCGTCATAACCAACTAGACCATTCCAGCTAGCTGAAGAGTCATCTCATTCCATGGTCCCGGTGATCTTAAATGCTCGTCTACTATATAGGCCGTACTCTGCGGCAAGACACCTAATCGCGGGCTGAGTCGAGAATCGAACTCGAGACCTCTCGCACTCAAAGCGAGAATCATACCACTAGACCACACAGCCACACCGGTGTGTATGTAGCAGGGGCTTCGGTGCCCCACGAGCAGTCGCTAGAAACCGCCCGCATTCAAAGACGCGGTAGCAACTCCAAAACGGCGCATGATCTAACGCATATTTCGAATGATGGTGCAATACTGGAACCGAGAGTCGAACTCGGGACCTACTGCGTGTGAGGCAGTCGTCATAACCAACTAGACCATTCCAGCAAGCTGAAGAGACATCTCATTCCATGGTCCCGGTGAGCTCCGTGATCTTAAATGCTCGTCTACTATACAGGCCGTGCTCTGCAGCAAGACACCTAATCGCGGGCTGAGTCGAGAATCGGACTCGAGACCTCTCGCACCCGAAGCGAGAATCATAGCACTATATCACACAGCCACACCAGTGTGTATGCAGCAGGGGCTTCGGTGCCCCAGGAGCAGTCGCTAGAAAACCGTGCGCCTCCGAAGACGCCGTAGCAACTACAACTCGGCGCATGATCTAATGCATATTTCGAATGATGGTGCAATACTGGGACCGAGAGTCGAACTCGTGACCTACTGCGTGTTAGGCAGTCGTCATAACCAACTAGACCATTCCAGCAAGCTGAAGAGACATCTCATTCCGTGGTCCCGGTGAGCTCCGTGATCTTAAATGCCCGTCTACTATATAGGTAGAGCTCAGCAGCAAGACAGCTAATCGCGGGCTGATTGGAGAATCGAACTCGAGATCTCACGCACCCAAAGCGAGAATCATACCACTAGACCACACAGCCACACCGGCGTGTATGTAGCAGGGGCTTCGGTGCCCCAGGAGCAGTCGCTAGAAACCGTCCGCATTCGAAGACGCGGTAGCAACTCCAAAACGGCGCATGATCTAACGCATATTTCGAATGATGGTGCAATACTGGAACCGAGAGTCGAACTCGGGACCTACTGCGTGTGAGGCAGTCGTCATAACCAACTAGACCATTCCAGCAAGCTGAAGAGACATCTCATTCCATGGTCCCGGTGAGCTCCGTGATCTTAAATGCTCGTCTGCTATATAGGCCGTGCTCTGCAGCAAGACACCTAATCGCGGGCTGAGTCGAGAATCGAACTCGAGACCTCTCGCACCCGAAGCGAGAATCATACCACTAGACCACACAGCCACACCAGTGTGTATGTAGCAGGGGCTTCGGTGCCCCAGGAGCAGTCGCTAGAAAACCGTGCGCCTCCGAAGACGCCGCACGGTGGCGCCAAAAATTAAAGTGCCCTAAGATAAAAACGCCATACGTAAGAACATCTCCTGAGTTCGTTAAAAAAAGTTTCAGATCGATATTCGAAGTCAGTTGCTCAAACTTGCTCAACGAAGGCTACTGAATTTTGTGCTACGAAGACTCCCGACTCACCCTCGCTAACTCGTGTTTCGAACGCTACTCTTGCTATCGTGTGAGAAGATATCATACAGCAGGCCGAAGTACAGAGGACAGTTAGTGCTCCTCATCATCCGCGCCCAAATCTACGAGTTGGACGACTTGCCACATGCAGCACTAGAAGTACCCGAGACTCCACTAGGTGGAGTCCACTTGCAGGCAACCATTCTGCGACCTGAGGCGACATCCGTACCGACTTGCGAGCTCTCCGCGAGCTGCGGCTTGCGAGGTGGTTCTTGAATTACTCAATCAGTTTGTCGCCAATCTTCATCGACACTGCCTCTAGATAGCTCGAATCGTTACTGGGGCGCCCCGACCCACTTCTACGTTTTTTCCATCCACCCTTTAGAGTCTTAGGCTCATTGTTCCAGGATGAAGCCCCGAGGAATGTACTTCTCTATCCAAGAGCGAGTTCCCTTACCAAGAGCTATTCTGCAATTGGGGCAGATACCCCATGATTCGAGTTTTCGGAATCCATCCGAAGTTCGGATGAACACCAATAACACTTCCGATGATATCAGCTGACTGGACTGCCGGACGGAAGCCTTGGCCAGCGTGACCACACAGATAGCACGTGTTAGCTTAAGGCATCAACGCGAAATCGACTACAGGGGTGAGATTGACCACCAAAACACGGTAACTTGGCAAACGCCGTCATGTAGAGGAGTATTTATGAGCGCGGATTGGGCTGTGGTGCTTCAATAATACTAGCTCTGACCGTGTTTTCTTTGTAGCCCTATGAAAAATCTAGTCGAGCAAGTTTGAGCCACTGACTTCGAATATCGATCTGAAACTTTTTTTAACGGACTCAGGGGATGTTCTTACATATGGCGTTTTTATCTTGGGGCACTTAAATTTTTGGCGCACCGTGCGCCGTAGCAACTACAACTCGGCGCATGATCTAATGCATATATCGAATGATGGTGCAATACTGGAACCGAGAGTCGAGCTCGGGACCTACTGCGTGTTAGGCAGTCGTCATAACCGACTAGACCATTCCAGCAAGCTGAAGAGACATCTCATTCCGTGGCCCCGGTGAGCTCCGTGATCTTAAATGCCCGTCTACTATATAGGTAGAGCTCAGCAGCAAGACAGCTAATCGCGGGCTGAGTCGAGAATCGGACTTGAGACCTCTCGCACCCGAAGCGAGAATCATACCACTAGACCACACAGCCATGCCGCCGAATACGTAGCAGGGGTTTCGGTGCCCCAGGAGCAGTCGCTAGAAACCGTCCGCATTCGAAGACGCGGTAGCAACTCCAAAACGGCGCATGATCTAACGCATATTTCGAATGATGGTGCAATACTGGGACCGAGAGTCGAACTCGGGACCTACTACGTGTTAGGCAGTCGTCATAACCAACTAGACCATACCAGCAAGCTGAAGAGACATCTCATTCCGTGGTCCCGGCGAGCTCCGTGATCTTAAATGCCTGTCTACTATATAGGCCGTGCTCTGCAGCAAGACACCTAATCGCGGGCTGAGTCGAGAATCGGACTCGAGACCTCTCGCACCCGAAGCGAGAATCATAGCACTATATCACACAGCCACAAAAAACAATTCATAGAGGAAGCTTGCGCGCTTCTGTGTCTGTCGCTAGAAGCCGTGCGCCTCCGAAGACGCCGTAGCAACTCCAACTCGGTGCATGATCTAATGCATATATCGAATGATGGTGCAATACTGGAACCGAGAGTCGAACTCGGGACCTACTGCGTGTTAGGCAGTCGTCATAACCGACTAGACCATTCCAGCAAGCTGAAGAGACATCTCATTCCGTGGCCCCGGTGAGCTCCGTGATCTTAAATGCCCGTCTACATTACAGGCCGTGCTCAGCAGCAAGACACCTAATCGCGGGCTGAGTCGAGAATTGAACTCGAAACCTCTCGCACCCAAAGCGAGAATCATACCACTAGACCACACAGCCACACCGATGTGTATGTAGCAGGGGCTTCGGTGCCCCAGGAGCAGTCGCTAGAAACCGTCCGCATTCGAAGACGCGGTAGCAACTCCAAAACGGCGCGTGGTCTAACGCATATTTCGAATGATGGTGCAATGCTGGAACCGAGAGTCGAACTCGGGACCTACTGCGTGTGAGGCAGTCGTCATAACCAACTAGACCATTCCAGCAAGCTGAAGAGACATCTCATTCCATGGTCCCGGTGAGCTCCGTGATCTTAAATGCTCGTCTACTATATAGGCCGTGCTCTGCGGCAAGACACCTAATCGCGGGCTGAGTCGAGAATCGGACTCGAGACCTCTCGCACCCGAAGCGAGAATCATAGCACTATATCACACAGCCACAAAAAACAATTCATAGAGGAAGCTTGCGCGCTTCTGTGTCTGTCGCTAGAAGCCGTGCGCCTCCGAAGACGCCGTAGCAACTCCAACTCGGCGCATGATCTAATGCATATTTCGAATGATGGTGCAATACTGGGACCGAGAGTCGAACTCGGGACCTACTGCGTGTTAGGCAGTCGTCACAACCAACTAGACCATTCCAGCAAGCTGGCGAGACATCTCATTCCGTGGTCCCGGTGAGCTCCGTGATCTTAAATGCCTGTCTACTATATAGGTCGTGCTCAGCAGCAAGACACCTAATCACGGGCTGAGTCGAGAATCGAACTCGAGACCTCTCGCACCCGAAGCGAGAATCATACCACTAGACCACACAGCCACACCGGTGTGTATGTAGCAGGGGCTTCGGTGCCCCAGGAGCAGTCGCTAGAAACCGTCCGCATTCAAAGACGCGGTAGCAACTCCAAAACGGCGCATAATCTAACGCATATTTCGAATGATGGTGCAATACTGGAACCGAGAGTCGAACTCGGGACCTACTGCGTGTTAGGCAGTCGTCATAACCAACTAGACCATTCCAGCAAGCTGAAGAGACATCTCATTCCGTGGTCCCGGTGAGCTCCGTGATCTTAAATGCCCGTCTACTATATAGGTAGAGCTCAGCAGCAAGACAGCTAATCGCGGGCTGAGTCGAGAATCGGACTCGAGACCTCTCGCACCCGAAGCGAGAATCATAGCACTATATCACACAGCCACAAAAAACAATTCATAGAGGAAGCTTGCGCGCTTCTGCGTCTGTCGCTAGAAGCCGTGCGCCTCCGAAGACGCCGTAGCAACTCCGACTCGGTGCATGATCTAATGCATATATCGAATGATGGTGCAATACTGGAACCGAGAGTCGAACTCGGGACCTACTGCGTGTTAGGCAGTCGTCATAACCAACTAGACCATTCCAGCAAGCTGAGGAGACATCTCATTCCGTGGCCCCGGTGAGCTCCGTGATCTTAAATGCCCGTCTACATTACAGGCCGTGCTCAGCAGCAAGACACCTAATCGCGGGCTGAGTCGAGAATCGAACTTGAGACCTCTCGCACCCAAAGCGAGAATCATACCACTAGACCACACAGCCACACCGATGTGTATGTAGCAGGGGCTCCGGTGGCCCAGGAGCAGTCGCTAGAAACCGTCCGCATTCGAAGACGCGGTAGCAACTCCAAAACGGCGCATGATCTAACGCATATTTCGAATGATGGTGCAATACTGGAACCGAGAGTCGAACTCGGGACCTACTGCGTGTTAGGCAGTCGTCATAACCAACTAGACCATTCCAGCAAGCTGAAGAGACATCTCATTCCGTGGCCCCGGTGAGCTCCGTGATCTTAAATGCCCGTCTACATTACAGGCCGTGCTCAGCAGCAAGACACCTAAGTCGAGAATCGAACTCAAGACCTCACGCACCCCTAGCGAGAATCATACCACTAGACCATACAGCCACACTGGCGTGTATGTAGCAGGAGCTTCGGTGCCCCAGGAGCAGTCGCTAGAAACCGTCCGCATTCGAAGACGCGGTAGCAACTCCAAAACGGCGCATGATCTAACGAATATTTCGAATGATGGTGCAATACTGGAACCGAGAGTCGAACTCGGGACCTACTGCGTGTGAGGCAGTCGTCATAACCAACTAGACCATTCCAGCAAGCTGAAGAGACATCTCATTCCATGGTCCCGGTGAGCTCCGTGATCTTAAATGCTCGTCTACTATATAGGCCGTGCTCTGCGGCAAGACACCTAATCGCGGGCTGAGTCGAGAATTGAACTCGAAACCTCTCGCACCCAAAGCGAGAATCATACCACTAGACCACACAGCCACACCGGTGTGTATGTAGCAGGGGCTTCGGTGCCCCAGGAGCAGTCGCTAGAAACCGTCCGCATTCGAAGACGCGGTAGCAACTCCAAAACGGCGCATGATCTAACGCATATTTCGAATGATGGTGCAATACTGGAACCGAGAGTCGAACTCGGGACCTACTGCGTGTTAGGCAGTCGTCATAACCAACTAGACCAT